TGTCTAATACCTTTGCTCTCAGAATCCTTACTCGTTGTATGTGTAGCTCAGAGTAGTTTCTGGCTATGATTTAGCTTTTATATTGCATCAGAAAAAAGTGTGCTGTATCCCTTTCAATATGTGTCTCTTTTCCCACCTCCAGGATGTCCTTACTGTTCACTATCATCTGATACCATCACCATCAAAGAGCAAAAATGGCAGCAAAGAGAAAGAAAAAGAACAGGAAAAAGAAAAAGATGTAAAAGAAGAATTTGCTGAAGCTTTAAGAGATCTAAAAATACAGTGGATGACTAAGTATGTCTGCTGTCATTGCTACACAAGCTTTAAGCAGCTTGAAGTTAAAAAAAATATTTAAAATCTGTACTTTCATGATGTATCCTCCTCTCTTCTAGGCTGGATACCACTGACATGTACAATGAGTTGAAAGAAGCATTTCCTAATCATCTTCCATTATATGTTGCAAGACTTCATCAGCTGGATTCTGAAAAGGTTATTTAACACTTCTTAAACTTGATGTCTCAATACATCCATGAAACCTGAAAACTGAGTGTTTCTTTATATATATTGGAGTTGAAGGGACTGTACTCAGTACTGTAAAGCAGCAGTTCCTAGTCAGTGACAACTGCCTCCCTTAACTGGGGGTGGTTTACTTAATCCCACAGCAGAATGAAAGTATTCTTAACTATACTGTTTGCTTATCAGTTACTCCTCATTCAGTTAAACAAATTGTAAGTTTCCTTACTGGTTTAGTCTACAACATTATTATTCTGAATGGTGGTTATTGAGAAAAGCACACATCCCAATCTGTTCTTCTATTATATTGGTAATTTCTTCTAGCAAAATTGTTTAGACAACTGAGGATAGTAATCCCCTGAAATGACACGGCTAAATCAAGAGTATGTCCTCAAATGAGGACAAAATGAGAACTGTGAATAGAAAAGTGTGCATCTGAGTTTTTTATTTTGAAGATGGAGGCCTTAGTGTATATGTCACTAGCTTGAATATTTTTCTTTTCATTTGGTTCTGATTTTGTGTTTATTTCTGAATTGAATAGCTACTATCATTATTTAAGAGTATTGATTTGTACTGAAAGGTGATTTTTTTTCTATAAACTCTGTATTTTCCATATGCCAACCTGATATTTTTCACTGTTTGTTTTCAGTGAAGGGGACTACGTATGTAGGAAATCTTGCAAACTTTCCAGATTTCTTTAAGCAAAATTTGGAGAAAGGGGAGAACATGAACGGTTTAATTATCTAGTGTTATTTCTGCATAACTTTGCAGTTATCCTAACGTAATATGTTGTCCAGTGAAGCAGTGTGATTTCATAGAGCTGAACGTCTTTTTTTATTCTTCTTTTAGGAACGAATGAAAAGACTAGATGAAATTGTTGCCGCTGCAAATACTGTAATCTCTCATATTGATCAGACAGCATTAGCGGTATATTTTGCCATGAAGACTGATCCCAGGCCTGATGCAACTACTATAAAAAAGTACCTAACCAGTAAATACTTTTCTTGCATCCTATTTTTGTAATCTATGTACTTTGTCTCTGCATATAGGAAACTCAATTACTATAACTTTGATAACTTGTGGTATTTTTTGGGACACAGATAATTTCAAATTTGAATATACAATTACTGTGTTTTCTTATTATATCTCCAGAATGCAGGAACACTGAAACCTGCAATTTTTCATTTATTCAATAAAATAAATGAGAGTGCTTTTAGGATTTAAATGTATCAGAAAAATAGATTATTAAAATTTTGTATCATGCTCAATCTAAGATCAGAGGGACCAACAGAATATTAGTAGAGGTTTGTTTTGAATGCTACATGCTTTTACTTTATATTTTGCAACCATTCGGATCTGTATTTGAAGACAAAATTGACATCAGCCAAAGAACTAACTGCTTTCAAAAGATTTCATTTGTGATAAGCATGATGACCATACTTGTGCTTCAGGGTATTTCTGAGACTCATTGTTTTTCTTTAGTTTTAGATGGTTCCTCTGAATTACCAGTGTGTATATATACCCCTAGGGAGACAGTGTTTTGAAGGTGACATCCTAGTTTGGAGAATAAGTGGTGGATTTTGCTGGAGGTGGTAGTATGGTGCTGTTTTAGTCACAAACAGAGCAGCAGATTTGAAGATTAGGCCCTTGACATGTGAGAGGCACATTTGTTGATTATCTGTAAAATAGCATATTTCAGTTGTAAAGCTATTCTGTCTGTCCTGGCTATCCTGAATTCAGATTTGTGTATAATTTTAGAATTACTGTTGTAAAAGCAAAGCTATGACATAATGAACTTCATTCTAAACATTTCTTGGTAAGTTGACCCATTAGGTCATCTGAAATTGAACACCAGATTCAATGGTGCTTTAAATGGATGCAGTTCCTTTGAAGTCAGCAGAATTGTATCTGCTTATGTTAGTGGTGGATTCAACTCTCTCTGTTTATAATGCCAGGAACTATAAAACTGTATATCTAAATGCTAGCTTACTTTTAGAAGTCCGAGTTGCCCTTGCCTTAAGACATCAAAGGCATTTCAGACTTAAAAAAATGATTGAGTTTCTTTATTGTATAGTGTCTTAAGGTAATTTTTTATGATTATTTTAAGTTAACGAGCCTTGCTTTAAAAGTTATCTTTGTGCTTATTTTCATTTTGCCTATACTAACTACTGTAAACTCAATCAGCACTGATTCTGTTCTTAATGAGGTATCTGCAAAAGTTCTAAATATTTTTTCATGCTAATTTTCTAGTGAAATGGAAAAACAGAAGAGTACTTTAGTAGATGCACTTTGTCGAAAAGGAAGTGCGCTGGCTGACCAGCTGCTTCATCTGCAGGCCCAAGAAGGGGCTGCTTCCAGTGATACAGAAGGCAAAGATGAGGATCATGAGAGCTGCTCAGAAGCTTTGACAGAGACATTCTGGGAAACAACAAAATGGACTGATCTTTTTGACAGCAAGGTAAGAGACTAGAACAGAGTTTTTTTCATTTGCATGTTGGGTTTTCTGATAGTTTCTCCTGGTAATTACGCACTGCCTTTGTGTGCACAGCCTTGTACATTCCTCCCTTCTACTTTATTGTGCTGGCCCCATATGTTGTGCTTCCTAAATGACCTTTTTCCACAGAGATTCTGCCAAACCTGTCAAATCCATGGTAAGCCCATCTCTGTGCATGTGAATGTAGAGGTTAAGGGAAGGGTTTAGGACAGTACCAGTTTTACATGAAAAACTACTTGCTTTATTGAATTCCTTCTTTCTGTACTTTCCAGGGAATATTTTTGATTTTAATTAACCTCTGCACTGTTGTAGCTGTGCATACAGAAGTGCGCAACATCCCTCTTCTGTTCAGTCCTGCATGCTGTAGCCTCTTCCACACTATGGACAAGAGAAGTTTTGTGTTTTGCTGTCAGTAGTATCTGTAGAGATAGAGGTAGAATCCTGTTTTATTAGCACAGAATTCCTTGACATTTCAAGGTTCCTGATCCTGAGACTTGAATTTTTGTCTGCTTCATTCAAGACAGTTATTCCAGAAGGAAAAAAAAATCATTGTAGGTGGTTAGTTATGTAGCTTTTAATTTATAGAGGTTATGACTTTATATTTTTAGCTGTTGAGCTATTGATATTAATTAGTTGCTGTACTTAAATGTCAAGTGTGACTGTTTTAGTGGAAGATGAAGTGACCAGTATTTGTTTATAATTGAGTAAAATTACAAAAGCACTTTGAGTAGTTTTTCTTTTTAAACTTTGAAAGTGGAAAAAAAAAACCAACAAAACATTTAACTTCCTTGGCAGTAAATAAACTTTACGTAAGAACTTGTGCTTTAGGTGGAGGCCTGAACAAGGAGTTTGATGGTGCTTACTCTTGCTTTAGTGTATTTGTCCTTGTGCCCATACATCTTTTCAGCATACCTCTTCTACTCATTAACTGATTTTAATATCCTGTGGTAGCAGATTTTGTGCTTTAATCATATTCCTTTGTACATGATTTTCTTTCTGTCTGTTTGTAAATGCAGTACTTTGTTCCAGTGTAGTAACTCCTGGCTTACTTCTGTCTTTTGATTTTTATTTTTTAAAGCTGATGGGAATTTCAGGGGCAAAATGCCAGTATAGACATTTTGTTGGGAGTTTATCACTCTTTGTTAATGGCTCTTTTTTTCAAGACATGTAGTGATTCCTGTTATTGTTAGTACTCAGGGTGGCACAAGCTGCCTTTCACAAGAGGCCAGTGTTTATTGGTCCTCTGGAATCCATCACGGGGAGCTCTTTGGTTAGCATAAAGCACAGGCAAAATCTGGTGGTCTAGTGGTTAAGGATGTGGCGCTGTCACTGCCAAGGCCCGGGGTTCGAATCCTGGTCAGGGCCCCTCCCCGGGCAGATGGAGCTCGTTAGCCCTGTAAGGCAATCCATCTACATCCTGAGGACCTCGCTGCCACCGTCCAAGCTCGCTTGGCCCCGGCAGATGAACCTCAGGATTAAAGGGTGGGCTCAGTTCCGCGCACACTGTGTCTCACCTAAAAAATCCAATGCGCAGGCTGGAAGGT